AAAGACATATTTATATGCAATTTTCTAAATATTAGTGGTATTGTTGTTCAAATTCGTATTCGGGGAGACAATTTAATATCTAGAGGAGTCTAGAAAACTTTTTTTTTTGGCCAAAAAATCAAAAGGTTTATTAGAGGAAGGACCCAGAGTCAGGAATCCACTACATTGAATTCCTTCATGACAGCGTCCAAACCTGCAGGCCCTGAAGAGTAAAGGGGTTTTCGGGATAAACAGAAAGTTAATGTTTTTTCACATTAACAATATTTGCCAGATCTTTTGACTTATTTCTATTTCCAAACTTTAAAAAACACCTTTCAAAAGGAAAAAAAAAACAAGTCCAGGAAATCGATGGATCTGCCATTTTCCAGTATACTAAGGGTCATACCCAAAAATGAGTTCTAAAAACAATAGGAAATTGGATAAAAAATGTTACGGACATGTGTTTGAATTAAAAGAGATTAATAAGTAAAATCATGAAGACTAAATCATTTGAAAAGCGTCGTTTGCTTCTTTCTGAGCACCGAGGACATTATTTATTGAACAGCCCTCGTAAACTAAGGTAAGACGGATCATTGGGTTGCTTAGAATGATTTCCTTGGCTTATCAAGAGGATAATTTACTTCAATGATAGCAATCGATCATAAAATACAATCAAATTAAATCTATATAACCTAAACAAATAAAGTTGAAGATAAATAATTTTTTTCTTGTTAATTTAATTACTATATAATATCATAAAAAGAAAACTGTTAATAAGTACCTTCCATCATTCATAGCTGAGTTAACAGGATGAGTAATATTTCTTTTTTATTGCTGTTATTAGTATTATTGGAAATATGGGATAAATGTGGTTACATTACTTGTTTACCCATAGTAAAAGCAATTAACAATAACTTATCTCCTTTTATATCTTAAAAACAATAAAATATATTGTAAAATAAATTCATCAGAATAGAGATAAGTGATATAATTGACGAAGTCCTTCAAAGTTAATTTATATGATGCATACACATTTACAAGTATTGAAACAAATACTTTAGACGCTATCTAATCTTGATGAAACAATCAAGATTTTTTTTGCATGTGTTTAAATGAAATATGGAGTTTATAAAGAGTAATCAAGAGAAAAAAATCATTTCAAAATTCAAATGGAGAACATAGACACACATAGACCTCTAAAGCATCAATTCAGGGATCAGATGGCAAGGAGGAGTGAACATTCCCTGTCCATTGATTGCATTGATCTTATTCATGATCGTGACAACAAAAATATCCGTAAGCAACGCATCATTTACAATAAGCTTAAAATCCAGTAGTTTTAAAAATGCACCAACAACTGGGAAAACGTAAATAGGAATTAATTAAACAAAAACGTTTACTACTTGTTCATACACATTTTATTTCCATATGTGCCAATTTCCTCCTGGAAGTGATAAAACTAGTATTAATATGAAATTTATGATCATATTAGTGTTCTTTAAATATTTATAATAAAAGTCAACTTAATGATGTATATAGAGGTTATTAGGCACCTTTTATTCTACTTCCCTAAATTACAAAAGCAGAGTGGAAGGTTCGAACAGTTTATCCTTTTTAACAAGCATTATTGTTTAAACATGTTCCAAAGAAATATAATTAAATAAAAAAATAACGTTACACAAGCAAAGCAAAGCAAAAAAAAAATCAAATCAAAGAATTTTCCACACCTTTTTTGATGACAGGGAGCAGTTTAGGGAATTTTGTATATGGTTTTTGAATCTAATGATTTTTAGGGGGGTCAACTTGCAATGCATGTATACTGTGCCTTTTAATAGATTACAGGGTTTGAATTCTTATTCTAGTCTCGTTGACCCACTTTTAACCTATGTCTATCATGTTACAATGCCATTTTGGTACTTGGGGTCAGAATGTGCAATATTTTGCTTAAGATGTGTAATACTCTATATTTGAGTCCCTTTTTTCTTACCTCCATTTTGTTAACTGTGTTTTACTTTGTCATATACACATGTACTTTTATAAATGGCACAATTCACTTCTACATGATGTTATTTGTTTTTGCCTGTTTTTATAAAAAAAAAGAAAAAGAAAGCAAGCTCAGTCGTTTGGCAGGTGAACTAAGGAACTAAGAAAATTACTTTAAAGATAAAAAGGCATTGTCCATTTTTATCTCGCAATGCTAAGTTAACAGTATTAATTAGAATTCTAATTGTCGAAATACAAGGCAGATTTAGAGCTCCAACCCTTTGTTATGTGCACAAGGCCCGTGTCGTGTTTTTTGTTAACATTGGTTAAATATATTACATTATATATGTTTGCAAAACAAATTTACATTGTAACTGTTTTTGTTTACATTGGTTAAATATATTAATATTTATGTTTGTTCAAAGCAGTTTTTCAATAAAGGACTTCATTTTAAATACACCAAATGGATGTATAAATGTACCATTAGACAGTTTCTAGTGATTTATTTTTCTTGCTATTATTAATATTATATTTTCTATATATAAACAAAAACAAAGCACGAGCTTTATTTTAATTATGAAGAATTTTAAGTTCTGTGCCTTCTTTGTAACTCAATAAATGATGTTAAATTTTTTTCTGATCATCTGAATTGTTTTAATTAGGAATATTATTTGTAAACATTAAAATTTATTTTAAAAAGATCAAATGAAACTGTATCCTTGTCCTTTTAATTACAAATTATGAAGTTTAGCTTCAAATTCTTAAAAACAGAAAACATGAATTGTTGGATTATATATTGTGTTCTTAAATACTGTGATCAATTTTAGGAGTTTAAGCAGACTTAACGTAGTTTATAACCCTATCTTTATTTTCTTATTATCTGTAATTTAAGACTTTCGATAAGTTTTCGGCTTTTATGATTTGTATACATGTATCTCCAATAAAATACACAGTATATTGCCAGGAAATTTCAGCTTAAGGATGACGTTTACTCAGGTTTCAGAAAACACAAATGAAATTTTATAAAGTATATGTTAAATCAAAAATTGTTCTAAATTGATGGAATAACCAAGTTTTAAATCAATATCAATTTAAAAATTTAATTTTTCAATTTTGTCATTTTTTTTATTTCTTGCAATATAAATCACAAAGTAAAGGTTACATGTATATTTAAACTTCATTTTGCAAATAATATATATGTCAAAGCTCATAAATTATTTCAAAAAATTGAATTTGTGAAATAAAGAAATTCAAAAAGATATACAAAAACCAATCCAGACAATATGTCTCAATAATTTGATCATTGACCCCATATAAAATTAACCTGGCGTTATAAATAATTTAGAGTTCTTATGCATCCCCACCCTACCCCCACTGATCATAATTTAGACATTTGAAATCTACACTACCCCAGGATTCTTCCATGTGCACATAAGTTTCAGCTTTTCTGGCCCAGTGGTTCTTGGGAAGAAGATTACCATTCAAAGATTTTTCCTATATATTTCTATGAAAAACTTTGATTTCCCATTGTGGCCCCAAACTTCCCCCGGGGGTCATGATTTGAACAATTTAGAATTACACTACCCCAAGATGCTTCCAATAAGTTTCAGCTTTTCTGGCCCAGTGGTTTTTGAGAAGAAGATTTTTGTAAACAAAGATTTTTTTAATATATTTCTATGTAAAATTTTTATTCCAAATTGTGGCCCCGCCCTTCCCCAGGGGTCATGATTTGAACAATTTAGAATCTACACTATACCAGGATGCTTACACAAGTTTAAGCTTTTCTTGGCCAGTGGTTATTATCTGAAAAAGATTTTCAAAGATTTTTCCTATATATTTCAATGTAAAACGTCCCATAAAATACCATTGTGGCCCCGCCCTTCCCAGGGGGGTCATGATTTGAACAATTTAGAATTTACACTACCCCCAGAATGCTTTTAAATTGATAAATACAGCTTTTCTGGCCCAGTTTCTTGAAAGAATTTTTTTTAATGATCCAACCCTATTTTTGTCTTTTCTTGATTATCTCCCCATGTGAGGGGACTTAACCTTTATTTTAACAATTTAAATTTTCCTTCATCCAATGATGCTTTGTACCAAGTTTGGTAAAAATTGGCCCAGTGGTTCTTGAGAAGAAATCGAAAATGTGAAAAGTTTACGGACGGACAGACGGACGGACGACGGACAAAGTGTGATCAGAAAAGCTCACTTGAGCCTTCGGCTCAGGTGAGCTAAAAATGGGGAAAGAATTTAAATATGACAGAGGAAATTCGGACTGCAATAATTCTTAATATGAAGCAACGCTGTTCCATTGCTTTAATATTTCATTATTTTTAAAAAGAGTTTTGTTGCTTGTAATATTTTGTGTGAGAAGTAAAAATGGTCATAGTTTGAAAAGTAGAGGTATTTCTCGAGAAATAATGAGGGGCCACTAGCATGAAAAGTAGGACATTGACCTAGTTATTTGAAATTGACACAAGCATTATAGGTGTGCAATGTGTAATATGTGTTTTTTGTTCTTATCAGTGGAATTTTTGGTCAAGTGAGTAAAGGTATACCTTGATGATGTCTAAGTTATTTAAATGCACTTTTTGATTAGAAAACAGATATATTCTCTTCATTTATATTTTTTTTCAAAATCCATGATAATGACTTATATGCTTTTTGTGTCATAATCTTCCTTATGATTTTCATAAATTAAGAGAATTAATAAAATAGAAAAGCACGTTTCTATTCAAAGTACATATACATTTTCTCCTTTTAATATATTCATGATGAATTCGTGGTTGATATCAATTTTCAGAGATTCCAAGTTGTTCTTGCAAAACTATAAGGCCTTGGTCCTCTTAAATTAACTTGATCTATGGATGAGAGTCGTACTTCTCTCCTCATATGGACTTTGTCCTGGTCTGTAGAACACGCTATATTACTTTTCCGTTCATAAGTATTTTGTTTATTGATAACAGTTCTGCTGTACTGGTCGGCGGGCGTGTCTACGGTTTTGAATTTCGGAAAATACACTCGACTGTAGTCATAAGTTCTTTGGTTATGGTGTACCTTATGATATGTTATCTCACTTATACTTTTTGGAATACAATTTATATTGTCCTCAAATTCTTCATAGCGAATCAGTTGCAGTTCTTGTACCTGATTGGTTGAGTCTACTGACTTGGCCATGATATTTTGGACCTCATACTTTCCTTGTCGTCGATGTCTAAAGGAAGGAAATTTCATCATTTGAAATAAATACATGCTATTTTATATACTTAGTTTACACGTTCATTTATCCCTTGTACCATTAACTTAAGGAATAAGGTTTACTTGCTTATACGACTTGTAAATGCAAGGTTTTAAAATATGATATTTTCGTTCCCTTCTTTTATTTGTACAAATTAAAATAGAAATGGTAAAGTTAGCTTGGAATGTTTGAAACAGTGTAAAATGCACACTTGACCTAAAAGCCACTAAGGTAAAGTCATGCACCAAAAATCAGTCCAAAATCTGCAATCATGCAGAGAAAAAAATACGGAAAATCTTGAACAATTAAAAATGTCGTTACTCATTAAAAAATAATTGAAGCAGAACGAATGCAAAATTGATTTGTAATTCAACAATATAACTAAATTATGAAAAATTAGCTCAGTGTCTTTAATCATTTAGAAAAAGTGTTAAAACTGAATGGGACAAACAGACAATCAAACAGAGGGACCAGACGGACTGACAGACGAACAACTAAACAGACAAACAGCTGGACGAGCAAGGAAACAATAGTTTCACCGGTAGGCAACTATTAAATAATTGTGAGGAGAATCCCTCCTTCAAATCTATCTTAGTTTTAATTTTAAAAAAAAACCATATATTTTTCTGTAAAAATATGCTAAAAATTATGTTTCTTTATGCAAAAAATCTTCATAAAAAATAAAACTAAAACATTACTGATCTTAAAGTAAATAGTACAAAAACGTTGTTTTTTTTTTTCCACAGCATAGAACGCAGTTTTTATTTTGTAAAAGTACTTAAGCAATATGGAATGAATTTTTGAATTGGTGGAACAGTTTGAATTTGTTTTATCCAAGATATTTCATGTCAAAATGTGATACTCGGGGTATTTGGAATTTGTGCAAATACTTAAAACATACATCTGGAATCTATACTGTAGTAAGAGAAAAGTATAGATTTTTTACTTTGAATGACAAGAATTATTGGAAAATCTGGAAAACTGATCCATGTTTTAAAGAGTTTTTATAAAAGATTAAGCCCGAACCATTTTCCGTTCTTATTTAAGATAATTTTAAGTATATAGCCAATAAAAAAGCTTTTTCTGTATTATACTATATATCTATTTCTTTACAGAAAACAAAATTAAATTATGATTGGACCAAACTTCAGATTGCTCCTTTTCCCTCTATTTATTGCATTATTGAGAGGACTTCTATAGACGGTGCCTGCAGTCCGTCCAATCCTTTTCTGTTTATACATGTACATAGTAAAATATTGTTTAAATCAAATTATTTATTTCATTTGAAACAAAAAATCACCGTCATGAAAATTGCTCTTTATTAGGCTTAAATAAATGCATGAACCTTTAAATGACGTGAACAAAATCTGTGGATTTACCTGTATATAAAAAGAAGTAAAACAAAGATCAGTATTAAAAGCTGAAAGGCAATGATTCCAATAACTGCATGAAAAACAAATTGACATTCTTCTGTAATATTTTTTCTTTCACCTAAGAATGAAAAATAAAGATTAATTTTAACGACATAAACGATAATATGTTATCTTGGATCAGAAAAATTGACATTTAACGCTGATATAATCAATGAATTTTCACATTCTGTTTCTACAAAAAGTATTCTTGCAATTTTTTTTTTTAAATTTCAAATATTATATATCCTGTTACTTTCTTTTTAAAGCATTTTTAAATGTGTAACAGTCTGCCTTTTGTCTATTTTAGAACAATATTCTCATGTTTGTTTCACTGATAACTTGGCTTACACAAAAGATATATATGTATTAACTGAGTATTAGCTTTTAAAAATAAAGAAAATTTCTATAGTATTATTCTAATGAATTCTTTTATTACAGGTCATTATTTTCTCGACAATTTCAGATCATAACAGAATGAAGATAAACAAGTCAATAAGTTAAGCCAATGAAAATAAGTCAAGCAAATGTTAATTTTAGATACTATGTGAATAATGTTTTTCAGCACATTTAACATATGCCATAAAATGCCGCACAATTTTGTACATTCAACCTTAAAAGGCTACTACATGTTGTAGCACATTGGAAGAACTTTCGCTTGGTTACCGGTAGGTACTGAGTGCAATTTTGTTACCGCCACCGCGTCAAATAAAAGACGCTACATAGATAATGAATGGTCATTCTTTGACAATGTTAAAAAATATATTAAACTAATTGGCATTTTGGATGAGACCCTAAAAACCGTACCTGTGAAACAATACGCGTTGGCACGATAAAGTCCCCTTACTGTTCGATGACCAAAGTAAAAAGATCTAAATTTGAAGACCTTTTCTATTATGTGATTTTGTCTCATATTAATGTAAAAAAGGTGTTAGCAACAAACAATCAACCATTCCATCTTCAAAAATTAAAGAAATCAATCACTTACCTTGACTTTTACTGATCGTAATATTATTTCTCTCTATTTTGCTATTGTGCTCACTAACTAAAAAAAATTTAAAAGCGGCAGATTATTCATATTGTTTATTATTATGGTGATTTTCAAAGAAGTATAACTGAAAAAAAAACTAAATTATAAAAGTGTAAATGTTTGAATTCTTATACATTTCTGACGATCTGTTCTTCCATAACTTACCAAGTACAATCTCTCTCACAATCGAATATTTCTGTTTTCCATATTAACTCTTAAATGTAAATTTTTGATTTTTTTGGTTATATTTTGCATAATATTTGATATTTTAGTTGAAGGAGCATTTTGAAATATACATGTGGTAGAGAAGATGGAGAGGACAAAGTATGAACATGGCCAAATACTCTAGAATGTATCTCAGGTAAACTTCAAAGCACACTTGTATGATAGCTTGGAACAAATCAAGTGTGGTAGTTTGCACAAAACACCCTTATAAAATAGTTTGTATAACACACACTTCCATGATAGTTTGGAATAAAAGGCCGTGGTATTTTAGGGAAGGAAGATATTATATAAAAGACATCACAGAATCTGTCTTAATTATGGTATTTATGTCTTCCAAGTTTGTTGCGCAAGTGTTTGCTCCTGGTACGAATAATTTCGAAAGCAAGGTATACTTATAGATAAATTGACGTTAGAGGGAACTTAATAATCTCGTTAAAGTTATTATTTCTTTTATTCTAACGGACTTATAATGACGTTGTTAGCAAATATAATTGGGTTACAAGTACTTTTGATAACTTGTTTTATATTCACTGTTAACTATTTGTTTTTAATACAGTACAATATACTATACAATATATCCTTGATCGATTCATGGCTTACATCAGATGTGTCAATTCAACAGGGATGGTTACTAATCATAGGCACATGATCACACCTCAGGAATTTCCTTGGTTCCGATTTTGATGCATTTTATAGAGGTTTGTTTTGTTTGTGAATTTTTGAGATCGATAACTTTTTGTTGTCTTCATCTTTTACATTATCCACTTAAAGGGGTCATTTCTGAACTTGTAAATAGTATTCAAAATAAGATGTTACCTGAACTTGATTTACCCGAGAAACCTGAAAAAAAGAGAAATACACCTTGAAACCATTTTCAGTTTTGAGATATCATTTTACGGAAAAAGGAATTGAATTGCTTGTTGTATGCGCATTCCGACTTCTAGAAAATCATTACTTATGTTTTGCCAACATGGGTGTTTTTGCAAAAACGAATATAACATTGAGTTTTAAATTAAATCAAGGAAATGAAACATTAACAATTTTCATTTTAAGTAGATGTTATTTTCAACAAAAATTTTGGGGAAAATATTAGAAGGATAGTTTCCTTTTAAGGTATGTCACTCGTGAAGTTTTTTAAATCAAGGATTTTTTAAGAAGTATATTTTGGATAAGTATTCATATAGTGTGACTCAAAATCGCAGATGAAATAGGGGATCAGTGTGCATCTTACTGATCTACGGTACAATTAAATTGACCTTTTTGCACTTAAACTTTAACTGTTTCGTAAATTACTGTAACCTTTATCATATTTTATGAGATGTGACCATGGCAATAAATGTAATTTTATTTTACTTAAAATAGTTTGAATAATATTTATTATCGAACAAATCTTGCAAATAATAAGCGTAAATTATTGTGTGACCTTTTTGCACTAAAAAGTAACATATTTGGGGTATTAAAAAAACTAAATAAGTAATAAAACCTTTTCTTAAATCAAACCTTTTACGACTTCAGTGCTGATCAGTCACAAAATTATACAAATATCACAGTTTAGAAGATATTTATTGGTGCGAATATTAAAAGTTTAAAGAACGCCAACCATCGTTTTCACTTCTAGTGCCGAGCGCTTGGCGGAGGAACAGTCACTACCTTTATTTACGTCTTAGGTATGACGCGGCGCCGCGAACGAGAATCGATCCCGGGCCTCCCGATCACGAAGCGAACGCTCTACCACTAGGCTACCGTGACCTAATCAAATTGACAGATAAAGCATAACGAAATAAAAACATCTTATTTTTGTCTATGTTTACACGTTTCTATTCATTTTCTAGCGTTAAATTACATCTCTAAATATCAATATTACAAAAACTTGCGTTTAAAATTGACGTCATCTTGCCTACTATGACGTCATAATGTAGTACTGATTTAGTCCAGATAGAATATTTTGTATGCTTCCTCATTCCCCCTGCGTAGCACTTAAAATTTTATAAAATTCAAAACGTTGAAGAAAATCTCATAAATAGAAGTTTTTGATAACACTCTGATAAGGATATGGAAATAACGAACAGAATTCAATCTCAACGTCCATTAAACAAATATACAAAACAAGAGCAGAGCAAACACGGACCTCCGAAACATCAGAGGTGGGATCAGGTGCCATGGAGGAGTGAGCATCCCCTGCTGACCGGTCACACCCGCCGTGTGCTCATTGTCATAATCAGGAAATAACGGAAAAAATCCGTAGTCAATTCAGTGTATAAATAATGGACTAACAATTGGTATGAAAAACGTCAGTCAGCATTTCATTCAATGATAAATTGTATTTGCTGACAAGGTCATTGTATCGACCATAGAATTTACGAAATGATGACTTTAAACGAGACTGTTGATATTCTTGTTTCATCAACTTGCTTGTCAATAATTTACCTCGTTTAAGAAATTGTTCATACGTAGAGCATGCTCTTGCGTATCGAATCAACTGAGATATAAATACTCCGTATGCAGGTGATGAAGGTATATTGCTGCATAAGTAAGGGAAGTTGACGATAGAAAAGTTAAAGTCATCACGTTTATCATATAGCTTGGTTGTTAGATTACCATTTGTGTCTTTTTCAAGTAAAATATCCAAGTATGAAGCAGATGTGTTGGACTCTGTGGTATCTTTTATCTCAAGCTCACCAGGATATATCGTGTCGACGTAGGAATGGAAATTATCATTATTAATTGACAATACATCGTCGATATATCTAAATGTCGAGTTAAAGGCCACAGCAAGTGTTTTTTTCTTTTCACGCAAAAGATTTTGCATAAATTCTGCTTCATATGAATATAAAAATAAGTCTGCTAATAACGGAGCGCAATTTGTACCCATGGGAATTCCAATAGATTGTTGGAATACCTGGTCTCCAAAAACCACATAGATATTGTCAATCAGAAACTCAAGCTTCTTCTTGATGTCAACTTCAGAGTACTTATGTGTGCAATCAGAATCTGTTTTAACAAAATAATTTTTCAAATGACCAATGACGAGGTAAGTAAACTTACGAGTTCCATTTTTGTTGAAGAAGCAGCTGTCAATGATATCAAAAAGCCTGGATTTTAATTTGTCGTGCGGAATTGTTGTGTATAAAGTTGAAAAGTCGTAAGTTTTTATGCTGTTGATTTTTGTAAAGTCTTGTGATTTCAAATTGTCCAAAAGTTCTTTAGAATTTTTAAGTATCCACATCTGATTTACACCACTTTTTGAATATATAGTTGTACAGTACTCTTGAAGTTTTTCCTTCACAACTGTCAATATTTTAGTGAGAAGTAACGAAAGAGGCTTGGTTGAACATTTACTGGAACCTGCAATGTATCTTTGTTTCTAAGGATTCTTATGAAGTTTCGGAATCCAATATATATAAGGTAGTTCAAATTCATTTTGGCTCTGTGGAATATTAAAAGTATTCAAAACTGACAGGTGATTTTGAAGGATTTCTTCCTTAGAAAGGGAACTACGCATGTATATAAGTTGGATTACCACTTGCAGAATTAAATTTAAGTTCTTCTAAAATAAAATTTATAATGAGCCTTACAAACGAAGACAATGTTGCTACCTGCTTTGTCGGCAGGAACCAGTACGTACTGATCGTGTAATCTATCTAATTCTTTTTTCACTTCTGGTTTATTGAACACAGAAGGATAGATGGTTTTCATTTTGCCCCTCAATCTTTTAATACGTGACTTTAACATGGATCTGATACATTTAATCCATTCTGACAAGGTGTCAATGTCTTCTTTTTCATATCTAGCCCATCGTCTGGCGTAATTTTCAACAGAATCCATAATATTTATGAAATTCTGACGCCAGTTGAAGGATCGGGGTTCCCTATATTTAGGACCTTTTAAAATAAGTGATCTTAGGTCCTCATTACGAACTATATTTACGTCACCTGTAATAACGTGTCCAGCAGGACTATAGTTATAGGGCGAAGAAGAACATGAACACGAAAGGGGATTATTTTTCAGATAGTCGATATCCAGGCCATGTAAAGTATTTTTGTAATTGAAAAGTTTGGAAGCAATGGTCGATGTATATTTGTAGGAAATACAAGGCGTAGTCTTTAACTTGAAATATGGTGGAATATAAGACTGGACCCTTTTGTGACTAAGAATATTACTAATATTTACCGCGTCAATTCCTTTATTGGCATATTGAAGTTTAAGGAAAAGACGGATTGTTTTAGCTGCATTTTCTTCCGTGAAACTTGCGGGTTTAAAAAGCCTATGATGTGCAATATCCATAATCACAGAACCGAGCCTATATTCAGGTGTCGAGGAATCTAAATTTGGATGTTCCTTGGTCTTTTCAAGAAGACTATTTAAAAGTTTCAAAGGGACAGAGTAAAGTTTGGTTCGAATATGATGTAGACCTACAGTACCGACCAGACACAACCAAACACCAGAGCGAACCCGAAGCTGACCGCGGGTTCGCTCGGGGTCCGCTTCGGGTTCGCTTTCAGAAATTTTGGGACCGCTCCGGGTGCGCTTTGGGTGCGCCCCGGGTTCGCTCCGCGTTCGCTCGGGGTCAGCTCTGGGTCCGCTATAGCGAACCCGGCGTTCGCTTCCTGGGACCGCTTTACGCACTGATGCGTGAAGCGGACCCCGCTTTAATCTTACCGCCAGTAAGCCCCGCCCCTTGTATATTCCAATACAGTAGTGGTATTGTTGATCGATCATTGTGGTTTATGCGACGATGCGGACATG